CCTGCAAGTAAGGGGCGTTTCAATTCAGGACAATTTGAGGTCGCCAATTGGTCAATTGCTGACGAGCTTACTGGGTTGATTGACAGGTGGCGTTGAGGATCCACCTCATGTCAGATCAGTCATAGATTGATTAAAATCATAGATTTTACTGGCCCGTTGGAGTGTCATCATTTATTCCATATTTATTCTAAATGTATTCAATATTTTGGTGAATCTAAGGCTTGAGAACTGAATTTCTTTACAAAATCCTAATGATAGTTTCTTATTTTTTCAGGGCTGCTGAGCTAAAATTTAGGGGTGCTTGAGCACCCCCAAAAGGAAGCTAAAATCTCCACTGATTGGAGATAAACATTTGCATTATAAACATTCTAAGAGTTAGACTCTAGAGTTAAAAAACAAAGAACTGGTAAACCTAAAGAAGTGTCTCGTGCTTAAATGTTGTTCTATATTTATGGCGCTGCCTGATCCCCCACGTTTATTCTTGACTGGTGTCTTACCCAGTCTTTCTTTTTGTTTTTGTGTTCAGCAACAGATTCACTTTTATATTTCCACCATAACGTCTTCTCTGAGATTGTACACTTGTCTGATTCCTCCATATTTATTTACTACAGCCAGCCTACTGCAGGTCATTCACATGATTCTGTGGATTCAGCTAGGTGCTTTGATTGCATTGAGTGCATACCTGAATTGCATATCTATATATTTTGGAACTGCTCTTTCAAACTGCACCACTTAATTCAGGATGACATTTTTTATTTTATATTTTGCAATAGTTTAAAACTCTCAACAGCTGAATCTGCGATAGTGACAAACACATTAAATAGTCTGTCTTTTCTTCCACAGTGAGCTCGGAGGTGGGCCGTGCAGTCTGGCTCCGCTTCTCACCACCACTGCCCTCCTCGGGCCCCCAGCCCAGCTTCATGGCCCACCTGTCGGGGGCCGTGGTCGGCATCAGCATGGGGCTGCTGATCCTGCGCAGCTATGAGGAGAGTCTGCAGAAGCAGTGCTCCTGGTGGGTCATTGTCTTCTCCTTCATCACCTTCCTCCTCTTTGCCATCTTTTGGAACATCTTCGCATATGAGCTTCTGGAGGTGCAGATACCACCTCCCCCCTGATGATCCCCCACTTCTCCACTTAGCCATGTTCTCCTTTTTACAACGTTTCATTTCCTCCAAAGTTAAATCCAAATGAGATCATTCAAAAAAAAAAAATCTACCAAGAATTCTTTTTTACAGATACTTTGCAAATCAAAGAAATATGTCTCTTTTATTAAAGAGGGATTACAGTAGCAACGAGTATGATGGTTCCTCAGATCCGTTTCGAGGAGCGTTGTGTCTTTTTATACATGCTGAAACTCATCTGCATCAATCTTCCAGAGAAGATGTTTCATCACTTGCATCTTTCATTGATGTGACGACCTCAAATTAGAAGACGCTGACTTCATGACTCGTGCCTCTTGAACAAAATGATTTATAGCAGCTAAAGGTAAGCGTGTGGGAACTAACTGTGTGTCAGAGTTTTGCTTTAAGGCACCAAGTCTGAATCTGCGCCACAGATCTAATCTGCAGAGGAGTCTGTTTATTTCTGAGGGCAGCAATAAAAAATAACTTAAAAAAACAAACAAAACAAAACTACATTTGATAGTTTCTTTTCATCCATATCCCTGCTGTAACTCATATTGGGGGGGGGGGGGGGGCATTGTGGCTTTTTGCTAAAATGCTGGCACGCCAAACTGAAAACACAACTAACTCACAAAAAGTGGTGCTCAGAGTGAAAACTGGATCACCTCCAGGGTGAAAACGCAGGGTTTATTTAACTTTCTTTATTTAATGTGAATCATTTTTACTTAAAGAGATAGTGTGGTTATTTTTGAAGTGTTGTTTTGTCAATATTTACCAATAATTTGTCCCTTGTGACATGAGTCATGGAGCATGAAGTATAAAGGGCGGAAGTCTTCCTGTAGGCTAGGCTAATGGCTAGCCAAACAATGGTCCTTTTGTATAATTTTTCAGGCTAATAAAACAACTTTCTCAAAAACCACGTACCGGTGTTAAAGAACTCTACACTTGCAATATTAAACCACTACAATTCTGCACTGATTGTTTAGTTTGTTGTTGTTTTTTTTCATTTAAACTACTTCTATGTTACTACATGAACGTGTGCGGGGCATAGTAATTGTGTTGCTGCACGAACATTCTCCGGTTGAGAAAACAACAACAGCCTAAACAAATGGTCAGGGCTTAATTTGAGCCGGATCCTGTTCCAGCAGGATCCGGGAACGCTTTTATTTTGACAGGGTGCGTTCCAGTAACTGTTTGCTTGAATCCATTAACTCTCAGGGTTACTAATAATAACGTTATGAACAAATATGACTGCCTTGAACGAATAAAACTTATATTGGATATGTAAACTGAAAACAATTACATAAACACTCATTTTAAACACAACAGTCACTTACAAGCATACGATCTGCCTCTTCAAGCAGCATTTCTGCTTCTACCCTTAAAAATATCTCCACCCCTAAAAGAGTGGAGGGGGTGCCGAGCTAACCAGGCAGCCATACGTGGGCAGGAGTCCACAGGCAGCCACCATGAAGAAACAGAGGAGGCATCTGGAGGTTTCACATGTGGAGTCGGACAGTGAATTCAGCAGAGAAGAGTCGGCGGAACTGTCAAGTAATGGGGGGGGGGCGGGGGGCTTGAAAGAGCAGAGTGTTTACAAATGTAGATAAACATAAATGTTTAACAACCTATTAAAATACACCAAAACGCAGGAAATTGCATCTACTTTATTCAAAATTTTCTGAGGGAGGACCCCCCAGATCCCCTGCCCCAACCCCGGCACCCAACAACCATCCCCCCGCCCCCCTGCGCCTCCCCCCCATCCTCACACATGGTGGTGAGCATAGCGGTTTGGCCGATATTTGTGTTCCAGCATAGATCAGTTTACAAATTAAGCTCTGTTTGAATTATCATAATGAAGCGTAGAGATTAATATTAGCTAACGCAGTGTTCTATCACACCCGTCATGTCTTTCTGAGAAACTGTTGTTTTGTTTTACAAGCCTGAAAAATAATTTTTTTAAAAAGGGCCCTTGTTTGGCTAGCCATTAGCCTAGCCTGGACGACGACCTTTGCCCTTTTCTTCACTCTGCTCTTTGACCGATGTCACGGTTGATAAGATACAAACTATTGATGACTGTTTAACAGATCATCACTTTATTCATGATCAGACTCTTTTTTTATCGTCAATCATCTAGAGTTCATGAGCACTTCTGCATCATTTTGTCGTCATGACACCGACACTGTGGACACAAAAACAGCTCATACACACAAAGACAAAAAAAAAAAAAAAACACAATGTTGAAAAATAAAAGTGACTTTGAGACAGAAGAGGATACTAAATAGATCACGAAGGCCTCCTGTTGCTGCGCAGACGTCGACTGGATGCTCTGCGCTCCATGTAAAATATATCATGTCATCCTCTGGTTTTCAGCGGGACAAGGACAAACACACACTTCTTTTTGTCTTTGAGCGCGACCGCTGCCTGATTCCGTCGGTCAACACGGACTAACACTCCTCCGCTTGTCCTCACTCTAACCGAACTGGAGAAAGGTGTAAATGAGTCCCCACCTGACCTCTGACCTGCAGGCCCCAGGAGGCGCTGGGCGTCAAGTCAATACCTCAGTTTCTCATTCTTAGGGACTGTATACATTTGTAAAGGAATGTAACTATAAAGGAAAAAAAAGAGTATTATTCTGTTGTCTCTGTTTTTCTTTTGACAGTGGGTGTTGTATATCGTACGTTCATAACCGAGGCTATATTTATTATTCTTTGTATTTGGGAAAACGAGTCAAAATTTCAAATGGTGCAGAAATATTAGTACGATTATCCTGATAAATCCTTGTATGGCTTTGATGCTCTTAATAAATCGAACAAGGCAAACACCCAGTTTGTTAGGCGACCACCAACAAGACGTCGGTGCTTTACATAATAAGCCATAAAAAGGACTGAAGAGGGAAAACGTGTTTGTTGGTTTAAAACCTGCTGACTTGTAGCTTCAGCTGAAATGATTATTTTGTATAAATGTGTGCGTGTGTGAAGTGAAACAAGTTCAAATATGCCTGTGAAAACCCCTGGACTGTTCGAGACGTTCTCATGTAGCCAAACCTTTTTTTTTTTTTTCTTGTTTGACAACTTGTAGCATAACCTTGCAAGTGTCCACACCTCTGAAGTGTCCCTCCCTCGGTTCTCCTGCTTGACAACAAATTATGGACGCAAGGGTTTCAGTTATATATCATCCCTGGAGCCATTTGAGCTTTTGGGAAACTGACACGAGCATAGCAATTACATTTACTCAATGCTGTGTATCATTTTTCAGTCTTTCAATCAATATTTCATTTAAATGTCTAACGCTGCCTAAGGGATTTTTTTTTTCTGGCCAGTTTTGATGGTCGGCAGCGCTCAGCGTTTTGCTTCCACATGGCGCTCTCAGTAGTGACGAAGACTTCATGTTAAATGAAGACAATGTGTATAATAAGCCATTTTCAGATCCATTTGAAGGAGAAAAGTTCTGACGATGCGTGGTAGTCATCTATACTTGTTGAAAACTTGTACAAATCAGGAAATATTACATCATTGCTTTGGGTTGTAAAGATCAGATGATGAATAATGCATACTTGGTCTGTTAGCCTATAATGAAGATAAAAGAGGATGCCTGAGAGAGGTCAATGTGCCTCTTTAACTTGAGATTCTTAGAAACTCACAGGAGATTAGGGAGAAAAAAGGGCTAGTAGATGGAGATGTTTTTGTAGATCATATTAACTGTGTATTTAAGCCCTCCTGGAAGTACATTCAAGACTCAAATCAAAGGCCTTTGGGTTGTGTTTAACCTGAAAATGGGCGATGAAAAGATATTACAGAAGGATAAACGAGCAACCAGGTGGAGAAGTTGTTTTTTGGGCACGGTGTTTTACTTTTCCGCACGGCAAATCCTGTGGTCCTGAGCAGAACATAAATCAAATGTGAGGCGGCTCTTCTGCTGCTCAGCTTTCAGGAGATCCCTCGTTCATCCTCTGACTGAATGCTTTTTGTTGGTAACAGACAGGAAGACACCTAAATCACAGCCTGAATAAAAGTTCAGGATTGCAATTTATTTCCCTGACATGTTCCCACAGCTCCAGTATCAGGATAGCGACCGACTATTGAGGCCACAGCAGAACTTGTAGCTGGATGTTTGAGTCCTCGAGGCTCAATGAGACTAACCTGTACAAGTAAAGGCTGAATTGAACTGCTTCATAATTAACAAGTTACAGTGCCTTGAAAAGGTAAAAATGATTCATTACCCCTTGAATGTTTCCATATTTTGTCCCTTTACGGCCACAAAAAGTTATCATGAGCTACTTGCTTTGGAGACGAGTTAAGGTGGACGGCCATGTCTTGGTAGGTTTGCGGTTGTTTCTGTACTCTTTCCGTTTCCAAATGATGGATTGAGTAGAGCTCCATGAGATGTTTAAAGCTTATGTTTTATAGTCTAACCCTAAACTTCTCAACAACTTCATCCCTCACCTGATGCGCTCCTTAGTCTTCATGATGCTGTTTGTTTGCTAATGTCTTGTAATGTCCTCTGAGGCCTCCACAGATCAGCAGGATTTATACTGAAATTAAACTACACCCATTTGGACCCTATATTAGGAGACTTCTGAAGGATTGCTCTGGATTTTGGTTGCTCAGTGGGAAATGGCCTGTGGGTGACTTCAATCTGTCCCACTTCATTAAAAAAAAGGTTGTTTTTTGTATTTTTGGGTGGGGGTTTCTGGGTTTGAGTTCTGTTATTGCATTTATGAATTTATGATTCAATGCAATAAAATAAACAAATTTTAAAGGTAACAGGTCATTGTAAAACTTGGTTTATTTACATAATGACTTTAATCGCTGAATGTCCTCCTCCCCCACAAGCTGCTGGCTCTCACTAACTGTGGCCCCCTGAGCAGTTTTGCTGATCTAAACCATTCAAAATGTTATTTCCACTTCAGAATTGTGTAATACTTTGTGTTGGTCTATAGCAGGGCTACTCAACTGGTGGCCCAGGGACCAAATCAGGCCCACAGGTGTGCTCAGTTCGGCCCACCAATATGTTCGTTTTTAAATAAAACTAGATTTTAAATTGTGAGACAACCTTACTTAATGACAATAACTGCTGGATGTACAGCGCCTGAGCTCTTGGCTTTCAGTAACTGTGGCCCTCTGCGCAGTTTAGTGTTATAGCATAAAATAAGTCGCATAAAATCTTAGAAAAACACTTTGCGTTGGGTGGTTTTAAAGTAACAAAATATGAAAAGGTTTACGAGATGTGAATTTCAAGTGCATCATTTGACTGGTTTATTATCTGAGCAGATCTGTCCAGCTGCTTTATTTTGAGCCCTTGCTCATGTGAATCTTACCCAAACACGTGTAATTAACTGACATGCGTGGGCATTTTATCTCTTTGTGCCGATTCATTGTGTCATTACATCAAACGCCTTGGTTTATCAAAAGCCCAAGACTAAGTGGAGGCAAAGGCCGCTTCCTTATTTGCTGTGTGATATATTTTCTAGGATCGTGTACAGAATCTGTGAGACAGAAGCCGTAATGCCAACATCTGTAGCTGCTCTGAGCTGCTGTGTGCCAACAAGCCCCGCCAGGTTGCCTTTTCTCTGTGGTTAGCTCAGACGTCTCATCACAGGACTGTGCAGGTAAAGCAGGCCACTGTAGCTCCTCTACAACTCATTCCTAACCTGATTTAGAGGTTCTTAACTGGCACCAGAAGTGCTGAAACTCAGCTTCGTTTCCCACGTTTGTTTGGATGGAGACGGCAAAATGTTCAACGGGACGAGGGTTAAAATATGACGGATTCGGGGCGAGGAGTGAAGCAAGGGCACAGATGCAGAAGAAGTTTTATTTTCTGCTCCGTAACATTGTTGACATCTCATTTTTCCAGTTTCTGGCGTTGCTACAGATTATTCCCCAAAAAACGGAGCGCCTTTCAGTCATGTAGAAACATGGCAGGTGGTTTCTTGAAAGGAGTCATTTCCCTCTAAGAGATTGAAAAAGACGCAAGTCATATCTGTGCTGCTGTGGTAGTTTTTCACGAGCTGCTTTCTTGTATCAATAAAATGGTGCCAAGCTAACGAGCTCCAATCTCTCAGAGCAAAGAGGTTGAGCCAACAGCGTTTACAAAAAGAAAAGCAAAAGAAGCTATTTTCTCCTCTCTGGGTCCGACTAACAGTAAACTAAATTGACATATTAATTTATATCAAAGTCCTCATGAATTACTTCACAAGCTATTGTACTTTTTAAATGTTCTGACTGAAACCATTTTATATTGTATATATATGAATATATTTTGTTTTATTTTGTACTGTTCATTGTACTTTGCTTTAATTTGAAAACAATATAAATAAATAATACTGTGGCTACATCCTGCTTCTGTTTTGTGTTACGCACTTTGTTGAAAGCATTTGTGTGATTATCGCCTACTGCCAAACAGCAAAGGTGTGTGTGCATGTTACCAAAATACTTCATGAACTACTCAACAGGTTTTATTGAAACTTGCTGATAGTAATCATTGGATGTGCATCTAAAGATGGTTATCTTTGGAGTCAACCCAGTTAAAATGGTTTCCACTAAAAAAGATTTGATCTTAGCCCATTTTACAAATATTCAGCTACAATTCGACGTGGTAGTAACTGAGAGTCATTCCCAACACATATTTTGAGCGTGACATCATGAGATTGTTCATTACATCATTTTAAAGCTTGATCAAAACAGAGCAGACTCCACCTTGTGGCACAAAACTTGTAGATCAATAAAAATAACTTGTTTTTCCGAGTGATATACAAACTTTATTGTTTCTGTAAAAAGAGTTAAAACTCTTAAGAGTTTTTTTTTTATGTAAAAAAAAAAAAGATGGGTTTATACAGTCCTGAGCTTCTTTGCTGGTCTCTGTTCAGTGTCAGGGTCTGAGGTCTCCTTTGTGCTGCCCTTCACCTCCACATCCTGTAGAAGTTGGAGCTGCTGCTGCGAGGCTGTGGTCATCGCCCACAAACACAACTCCAGCCTGTGGGGTGTCCAGTCCTGCTGCGGGTCCACTGAGGAAAACGTGCAGAAGTTCAGATTGTTCAGAAAATACAACGTTTTCACTTCAAAAGTCTTTACTATCGTCACGTGCAGAATCCTGAGTTTAAAGACTAAATCCATTGTGCAGCCTTGTGCCATCGCCTGACCTTTGTTGAGTTTAGCAGATCGTGCAGCTATTTTGTTCAGGTACAAGGCGTAGTGTTTGGCTGTGTACTGGATGGGCGCCAGCCCCGGTACGCTTTCCACGGCCTCATCAGACATGAACGCAGTCAGTCGTGGAGCTCCGGCTGCCAACACAGCTGGAATAAAAAAGGACAGTCAGACAGAAACCTGTTTGCAGCCATGAAGAGAATACAACAACTTCAAGAGAACAACCTCTCAGTCTGTTTTTGTGAGCAAGATTCATTGAGCTTATTGAAAATCAATCGCTCCATCCATTAAGAGAATCCAGACAGGGGTGAATTATTGAGTTTGTATAGCAGGTTTGCCCTGGATATATTAATAAACCAAAAATGACGCGAGCCAACCTGAGGCGGTGGCAGGACCGACTCCTTTTAGGGAGCTGAGCTCTGCGATCGCTGCCTGAACGTCAGGCAGGAGGCCAAACGCCCTTCTGGAGCATTTCTTCACCACGTCTTCACTGTTGGAAGCCACCAGCTGCTGCAGCCTCGGCCTAAACTTCCCTCTCTTCACACACACAGACAGACAGACAGACAGACAGACGATGGCACAGAAACTTTTGTTTGGGACACATGCAGAAAAAAGGAGAAGCTGCTGAAGAACTTTTAAAGTTTGTATTTGTGATGATCCCTTACCGTGAGTTTCCACTCCATCAGTTTCACCAGTTCTGACCGAGTGATGTGTTCGTCGGGTCGACTTGAAATCAGTGAGGGCAGCTCCTCCTGGTACCTGATCACAAACACAGTTTAGGGTTGATCGTGAATATAAAAGATAAAATATCAAATAAATAAATCCAATGATTGCAAAACAAATACACATTTAAAAACTATGTATAGACGCATAAACCTGCCAAGTAGCTGTAATCCCATGTTCCCACTAAGTTGCATAAAGATGGCTTAAACTGGTCAAAAACAAGCCACTGCTGCTGCAGATAAAAACAGTCATTTGCACGTCTAACACAAAATTGACAGGTGTCTTTTAGGTGTTTTAAACAATTATTTTAAACATTGAAAAGCTCTGAAAAAGGCAGGTAAAACTACTGTGAAATACTGCTTCTTCAAGGGCACATTTAATTAATAAATAAAAATTACCACTTTTCAAGCTCCAAAAGCTTTCCAGATTTCTTGCCTTTGGCCTTGACCTCCACTACATCCCAGTACTTTTCATACACACTCCTCCATGTGGCTGGTTCCTCACAGGCAAACAGAGCACTCATGGCATACAGGTCGCAGCATCAACTACAATAAAAATATTTTTAAAAAATGTAAGGTCATACAATAAAATAAACATTAAGCATGCACAGTGCGGTGCGTTGTGGAAACAATGGAAACCAGTTCTGGTCTGAGAGACTTTCCCCCTCTTTTTATAGTCCTGATGTAAGCTCAATCATCCAGGTAAATAAATCACAAAAAGAGTTAAAACAGGTCATCTGCACACGTCACATCAGTTGACAATGGAAGAAGAGACTAAAGAAAAAACATTACAAAAGTGGCAACCATCAACATATATTATAACCAGACACAGGAATGCAACTTGGAAGATCAAGGTTCTTTATCGTCACTCGCATCACATGGTGCATGAGGTGGAACGAAATTGTGTACTCAAGGTCCTACTTACACTCAAAAAAATAGCAAAAATATAAAAGTATAAAAAGAAACAGTAAAAGGATCTAAAATATACGCTAAATGAACACTAACCAAAAAAAATTAAAGCCAAAAGTTAAAGTTAAAACTAAAAAAATACAAAATAAAGAAGCGCCTCCCTATAAGGCTGATTGCACTTTAGGTTTAAGTCCATGAACATTAATGAGACATTTGCCTTATTAGAAAATAACATTAAACCTCATTTTCAAACTCAAAGTTTCTTTGTCAGTCGCACCACATGTGGTACATGTGGTGGAACAAAATTGTGTACACAGGGTCCCAGTTACATCCAACAAAAGTATAAATTGTAAAGAAAAACTAGTAAGATCTAAGATATGAACTAAGAAATACACTCAACTTTATAATTATTTTATTATTATTATATTATAATGACTATTACTATAATTTTATTCCAGGAGTTGACTTATGTTGATTGTTGTGGTTCTTAGCTTGCTGCTGTATGTTCAAATATTATGTTTTTCTAATATGTTTAATATTTGACACTAATAAAACCACCATGATTATGTGCTGGTGAGTATGACGAGACTTGCAGACCCAAATGCAGATTCTGACTGCAAAAATATAGCAGTGTTCATTTCCACATTTCCTTCCAGTGGTATGACATGTAAGGAGATAAGGAGAGCAAAAATGAAAAAAATGCATTACAATTCACATTATAACATTTTATGATTTACCATACCACACCATTTTATTTATAGAGCACTTAAAACAGTAACAAGGCCAACCAAAGTGCTGTACAGACAGAAAAACAGGCAACACAAAGCAAAATACAAAATGAAGTAAATCAGAATATAAACATAAAAACGATGCAGATAATAAATATGACGACTAACCAGTGCGGAGCATACAGGTTCAAAACACTGATCATCTGGTGTTGAAAGCTACTGAATAGTAGTGGGTTTTTAAACGGGATTTGAAAACCGAGAGGGAGGGGGCCTGTTTGACAAGCAGAGGCAACTCATTCCAAAGTCTTGGTCCTGCTACAGAGAAGGCCCTGTCACCTCTGCGCTTAAGACAGGTTCCTGGAACTGTGAGGAGCAACTGGTCCGCTGACCTCAGGGAACGTGGTGGGACATACGGTTGTAGCAGATCGGAGAGATGTGGGGGGGGGGGGGGGGTGTCTGAAACTGTTCAGCGATTTGTAGACATACAGAAGTATTTTGAACTGGATTCGAAGGTGAACCGGTAGCCAGTGCAGTGAGGCCAAAACTGGTGTTATGTGCTCTCTTTTGCCTGTACTGGTTAAAAATCGGGCTGCTGCATTCTGGACCAGTTGTAGTCGTGCAATGGAGGTCTGACTGATACCAAACAGGAGTGAATTGCAGTAATCAAGCCTAGATTTAATGAATGCATGTATTACTGTCTCCAGGTTATTTTTGGATAATATGGGCTTCAGTTTAGACAGCCGCCTCAGTTGGAAAAAACATAATTTAACAATCATGTTTACATGATTGTTAAGTTTCAGGGAAGTGTCCATTATCACTCCCAGATTAGTGACTCTGTTTTACTGACAGGGTTAGAGAGGAAAGGTCGATGCAGTGGTTTGTGATCGTGTCGTTGGGAGGGAACAACATGACTTCAGACTTCTTTTCATTGAAACTTAAAAAATTTAAAGCCATCCAGTTCCTGATGGCAGCCAAGCAGAGGTTGAACATGTACTATTGTGTCTTAGGGGGAAGTAAATTTGACAGTCATCGACGTAGAAGTGAAAGTGTATGTTGTGTTTCCGGAAAATAGCACCAAATGGCAGCAGGTATAAAGAGAATAGGAGGGGATCCAGGATGGCCCCCTGCGGAATCCCCCATTTAAGCTCTGCCACTGCAGAACTAAAATCCTTTAAAACTTTTTTATTTTATTTCAAACAAATTTCTTTTATTCCTGAAAATTTAAAGTTTAGCATGACTACTCTGAAACGTTTTAGCTTCATACATAAATACGTGGGATCCCTTTTTTTAATCATTAAATGTTAAATTAGATTTAAAAATAACAAATAGTTATAGTGAACGTCGTACAGCCAAAACTACCATGTGATTCCAATGCGGCGGGACAAGAACTGGGGATAAAATCTCGCGAGATTTTACATGTCTTGGACACAAAATCTCGCGAGATTGTGGTAAAATATTATACTTCCGGTGCTGTAATTAGTTAGCAACATCTTCAGAACATTAGGTTTGTTCGTTGAAACACTGTCATTTTCTAAGAATAATATTCACTTTAACTTAAACCGGTAGAGTTTCGATACGTTTCCGTATTTAGTTATTGTTTAATATAGTAAACTTTTTTTTTCCATCTCGTGAGTTTGTTCTACACAAAGTTTCTCCGGCTCGGGGTTAGCTAGCTAACGTCACACATAGCAGTCGTGTTTACAGTGGGAGTCCACGGACTAGCAACTCACCGACTGAGCGGACGGCTGCGAGGGGCTGACTGTTGTTTCTCAACAACGTTTGCAGTGAAATGAGTCTCCGGCGGGGCGGTGAATCGAGAGCACTGCGTTAGGACGAGCAGGGTTTAAAATGTTTAGACGACCTGGATCCTGCACGTGTTCCCCCATGGGTGAGTAGATACTTCACGTGAGCACCAAGTGGCCAATAATCAATCATGTGATAGCAACATCAAACACGATCCTTTAATGAATTTAAAACTTGCTGATTGGTTTAATATCAAGTCAAAACCAATAAAATAACCTCATGTTTTGTTTGACAGCACTAACGAATGTATACGTGTAGTTGTATAATAGTATCCTGTTACATTATTGTTTTTTTAAAGGCAATCAAACATTCATGCTTTTATAATAATGATTTGATAGATAATTTAGATTGTATTCCTTTTATTTATAAAGTAAATAAATTATGCTATTTTTTTACATAAAGTTTAGACAGCAAAACTAGAGTGAAACATTGCATTATAAATGTTACAAGACAGATGCATGCAGTTTGTGCTGGACCTGTTTTTGTTCAAGTAATTTGATTTGATCAATGTTCAGAAGCCTTTTATTTGCATTGGAAGACATTTTAAAGTTGTTTATAAAGGAACCAATACACTATAACCTAAAAATAATTTCACATATCTACAGATGAACTCTAAAGGTGAGGTGGTTTAACTCATGATGTTAACATAGTCAGCAATATTGCAAGTTCCAATTCAGCAATCTATTGATAAATATTTTAAAACAGCAATGCATTATTTCTTAAGCATTTATCTCCAGCCATGTTTCACGATCGCTTCGATCAACTTCTTTCAAGGTAGATGTTCTGTAACTGACTACATGTCAGTATAATTTTACTCAGTCCTGCCTGCTCTGCCTTGTTTCGTCTGATTTTATGGTTTTAACCTTGTAAAGAATAGTTTGTTGTAATTTTATATACTTGTACATTGAAGCAGCTGAAGTTGTAGCCGCTTTGGTTCTGCATGTTTACGTGGTTGTTTCACTCACAGGGTAGCCCTCATGGTAGCAGGTGACGAGGACTCCGTGCAACCCAAGAGATTGATGAGGCCATCACCAAGTGAGCACTACAGTTTTTATATTTACTAAAATATAAAGTTACTTTTTTATGTACAGTTGTTGGCCCTTCCCAAGTTAAAGACAAAGTTTTGTCTATTTTGTTTCCTTTCTGGTGCAATATTTTGTTTTTACACCTTTTGGAATAATGCTGTTTATAAAAACATGGAGTTTTAATTTGCTTTCAGTATATTGCATGTCATTCCTTTTTCTTTGATTTGAATACTTTAATCTTTATTAGGAACATGGAGAAAATGTCACGGGTTACCACGGCCCTTGGCAGCAGCGCCATCAGTGGCCGAACCATGTTCTGCCACCTGGACGCTCCAGCCAACGCCATCAGCGTGTGTCGAGACGCCACGCAGGTGGTCGTTGCTGGACGCAACATCTTCAAGATCTACGCACTTGAGGAGGAGCAGTTCGTGGAGAAGCTGAATCTACGCGTTGGCCGCAAACCGTCCCTGAACTTTAGCTGCGCTGATGTCATGTGGCACCAGATGGAGGAGAACCTGCTGGCCACGGCTGCCACGAACGGAGCGGTGGTGACGTGGAATCTGGGAAAGCCTTCACGCAACAAGCAGGACCAGCTGTTCACCGAGCACAAACGCACCGTCAATAAAGTGTGCTTCCACCCAACAGAGGTTAACATGCTGCTGAGTGGCTCACAGGACGGCTTCATGAAGTGCTTCGACCTGCGCAAGAAGGAGTCTGTCAGTACTTTCTCAGGTACTTTGATGTATTGTTTGAAATTACATGTACCTTCAGATGTTTTTCTTGCTAAGTAACATACGGTAGTTTAAAAGTTTATTATTCTTTAGTATGTTAGCCTGATGGCTTTGTTTTACACCTAGGTCAGTCAGAGAGTGTGAGGGACGTTCAGTTCAGCAACAAGGATTATTTCACATTTGCTGCATCTTTTGAAAATGGTAACGTCCAGCTGTGGGACATTAGACGACCAGATCGGTTTGAGAGAATGTTCACCGCCCATACTGGCCCTGTGTTCTGCTGCGACTGGCATCCTGATGACAGGTAAAAAAAAAAAAAAATCAGTGTTTTCTCTCCGTAGTTGTAATGGTTTATTCTGTTTGTCGCTTTCAATTTAAAAAAAACTTCAGTTCGGTTCTGGTTTATTATAGTTGTCACTCGCCTTCCTTGTGTCTGTTTCAGAGGTTGGCTGGCCACTGGAGGTAGAGACAAGATGGTGAAGGTTTGGGACATGACCACAAACCGAGCCAAGGAGATCTACTGTGTCCAGACGATCGCATCAGTGGCTCGGGTCAAATGGCGTCCAGAGAAGAAGTTTAACTTGGCCACATGCTCGATGATGGTGGACCACAACATCTACGTGTGGGACATTCGTCGACCTTTTATCCCCTTTGCCACATTTGAGGAACACAAAGATGTGACCACTGGTATTGTGTGGCGCCACCAGCATGACCCTCAATTTCTGCTCTCTGGCTCTAAAGATAGCACTCTCTACCAGCACATGTTTGAAGACGCCACACGTCCTGTGGACATGGCCAATCCTGAGGGTTTGTGCTTTGGACTGATGGGTGACTTGGCCTTTGCAGTGAACGACAGTCTGATCAGTAGTGATGCCAACAGGAAGCCCTATCCTGGAGGTGACCGTCGCTACCCCTTTTTTTCCTTTAAGAGGCCCAACCTGACAGAACAGTTTGCCCACGTGTCCAGTGCTCTTAGTGTCTTTGAGACGGACTTGGACAGTCACCGCATGGACTGGTTTGTCAAGACGGCACAACTCTACCTCCTTAGTGGAAAGCCATTTGCTGAACTGTGTGATCACAATGCCAAAGTGGCCCAGGAGCTCAAAAGACCTCAGGTAAAACAAATCAAGGTGTTTTTTGAAATATTTTGTATTTTTTGGATCTTTTTTTGTTTGTTCTATCCGATTTTCACCCAAATGATCTCTACCTTCTCAATAACAGGTGGCGATTTCGCCACCTACTCTGACCGACGTCTTTGGAGTCAATCGACGTGCTGACGTGTGATAGTCACAATTTCAGTCGGTCTAGCGGGAAAGACACATCCTCTCAGCAACTATATTTTAATTGTTAAAAGTACACACTAACCTATACAACAGTTTTAAATCATGTTGATAGGCCAAGTAAAACCAGAGTTATGAATATTCCACACTAAATCTTTCTCTGAACATCATCATCATACTTGAAGTGTGGCAGAGAGAGAGACTGCGGCAAAGACGGGCAGTCTCAGGGACAAAACACCCTCGTCACCCTCCGCTTTCACCTCTCAACCCCGCCGAACAGATAAACAATATCCCCCCTCCTTTCTGATGGAGGATCGAAGTTATTTGTCAAGCGCCATAAAATGTACAGGAAGGAGAAGAAGAAGACGTGGAAGTTGAATGGAGTTCAGCGTGATGAAGTCACAGCGGGAATGGGAGTGAGTCATGAGGTTTGAGAGATTTGTGATATTTAGCGTGTTTGGGATTTATAGTTGGGGGTGTAGTTTAGTGTATTTAGTGTTTAGTCATTTTTAGCGTGTTTGAGTCAAAACAATGAGACGATTTTTGAACATGAGGCGGAGCTGCAGACCCAGAGGAGGACGGAACCGCCGAGTCAGAACCTCTCAGACAGAGAGGATCATGAAGGAGAAAAACAGTCTGAGTCAGAAAGTGAGGACTTTGTTAAGGGTGATCATAGGGCTGGACAGTAATTCGATATCGATATATTTCGTGATAAACTTTTATTCAATAGCGCTGATATGAGTTTTAAGCACATTTTCGATATTTCGATATGATTACTGCGTTTCACTGACGCATTTCTTTTTCTGTTCGGGTTGAAGCGGCAGCTTCAGTTTCAACCCAGACAGAAAAAAGTGCGACACAACTACGTAAGTGCGTGGTGACGTAGATGTTACGCAGAGCGTTAAGTTTTCGCTTCAAAATAAGTGCCCATGACCGTCAGAATGTGACTGACCAAGGTTTCACAAGGGAAGAGAAAGCAGATGAAATAACTGATGAGAGGAAAGACTAATTTGTCGGTGTGGAAGTGGTTCAGCTTTCTAAGATCCAATAAACTGCAGGTTTCAATGCTGCAAAATGTGACGGAGAGTCGTGGTGGGAGCACATCTAACTTGTTCCATCTGAAGAGTTTCCACTCGATAGAATACGCTGAGAGTCAGAAGATGAAGCACAATAAAGTTTGAGCCAACGTGTCCCTGAAACATCACCCCCGGCTGCATCAAAAGAGAAACGCATGCAGCAAACGTCTGCGGCATGGGTTATGTTTAAAGTTAAAACTATTAATATATGTCGTTATTGATGAGAAGATGACATGGAAATCTCAAGTAAATTATTTAAGAATAAAAATAGCAAAGTAAAGTAAGAGTTTTTGAATGACAAAGCTTTATATATATTGTATAATGTAATGATTGTTCCATATTTAATTTATTGAAGTTTGGGGAAAGGCATGCAGAACAATTACAAACCCTATTTTTATTTTACAAAAAAGAGCTATAAGAATTATTAGTAGGAAATGCTCTGGTCACCCAACAAATATATTATTTCATCATTTAGTCATTCAAACGATCAATTGAAATTATTAAAATGTTATGATTTGGTTGAATATAGTATTTTACAAGTCATGTATAAAGCTCATAAAAAATATTACCCCCAAATATTCAATTCAAATTTGTTAAAAAGAGTCAAAATAACTTTAAGAGAATGGAAATGTTTGTAAAACCTCCATTTAGAACTAGTGTGAAGGAGCTGCGTTGTAATTCAGGGAACAGGATTGTGGAACTGCCTTGATATCACCATAAACATGTCTATAACAATTTATATGTTTTAAAAGATGATTAAGTTAAAGATGTTGGGAAAGTATGAAACCGTGAAGAACGCCTGACAATTTTGTTTTCGCTTTGGAGATTGTTCAAGCCTGAGTCGTTCTTTTAGTTATTTATTTTTTATTAAGGGGCAGATAATATAAGATTTTCTTCTCCCTGCACCCTTTTCAGTCAATGTTCTTTTTCTTTTTGATGAATTCGTTTTATTTTGTTTCTCTTAAATGAATTACATTTAAAAGAAATTGACAAAGTTGAGAGTTTTATGTTTATTCGACTGTGATTTCGAAATTATTTGAAGGCTACAAATAAAAGGTGAACATTAATTTATTTGTAGTTTGTACAGTTTTTCTGAGGCTTTTATATTGTTTATATCGATATAGAATTATATCGTTATCGACCGAAATTAAGAAATGTATCGTGATAAAAGTTTTGGCCGTATGGTCCAGCCCTAGGTGATCATGATTTGTTTTAGAAGAGGAAGAGAGAACTGAGCCCCAGTCTCTGCACAGAGGAGATGGTCCAGAACTCCTCTGACTGGGCCAACAGGAACAGAGGAGCATGTGGATGTTGACCTAGAAGGCATACTAATGGAGGAAAAGATACACTTTTTTTAAATTGCTGTAACGTTAATATTTTGTCAGTTTGCGTTCAACATTTTCACCGTATTGAACATCTGTGTGTTGACGTTGGGAAACGACTCTTCTACTCTAAAAGTTATTGAGAAGGCTGTGATCTGGTCATGATTTCAGTCTTTCAGCCATTTGGTCCCAAAATGTATGTAAAGATCTAGAAATGTGCGTTACATTTGTTTCAAGTGTTTCAAAAAGTACTGGAGACCAACTGTCCAGAACCCATTTAATTTATCATGAAAAACACATGTAATGTTTTATTCCTGTGATTGCAGCTCAAGTAGTTTCTCCAACAAATCTTTGATCATTATTTTTGACCAAACTGTTCCATTTGTTTTAAACTTTACAGTAACGTTACCGTCGGTGGTGACCAGCTGTCGTTAAGTGGGGAACTGCAAGCTCGTGTTGTCGCCCGAGTTATTTTAGAGAATGACACAGCTGATATTGATGTATTGAATATACTCGGAACTAGAAAAACCTTTTGGGTTGATTTTTGTTTCTCTTTTACCGTTTTCTTTGGGAAAAGTAATGCAACTCACGTTTGTGCGTTTTGTTTAACACGTGAACTATTTATCTGTTTAATTCAAAGGTTTCCACTACATGGACCATGCTGAGAATTATGTTCTCAGACCCAGCGAACCCAGCTGCACCAGCTCCCAATCTCAACCTCAGTAAACTCGGCTCCTTGCCCTTAATGAACAGGTAAATGTGTGCGCCGTCACACGGTAATTATTTCATTATTAGTCAAACTTGAACGATCGAGTGTTTTGCTTTCAGTTTCAGCATGAAGGAAATAAGTTCAGGGATGGGCACAGAGAGCAGACTGGAGCGCAGTAAAGGTGAGAGCAGGCAGGATAACATCCACCTGGAGCCTGGAAATTCGCTCATAAGCAATAACAATGAAGGTGAGAGTGGCTGATTCAGTCTTAAAGACCAATCTGAAGGATTCGTCTTGATTTCTTAAAGATATGTTTAATTAATTTTAGAAAACGAGGAGACAGAGGGCAGTGACGGGCCTGTGGAGAATATGTTTGCTGATGTGGAGCTGGATGATGATGATCTCTATTCCATGGAGCAAGACAACCAAGCGGGTCAGTCACACCCTCATCATCAAGAGAACTACTGTATTTTTTGCCCTATTAGTGAATAAATCACGATTTTTTTACATAATTTGCATGCCCTGCGACTTATAGGCCATAGCGACATATTTATGGATATTTTTCCCCCATATTTATAAACCAATTTTTGGCTGAGATGTGACCGTTTTCATTCATTCTGACTGAAAATAATGAACACTACCATTTTTCAGCAGCTAGATAGTACCAGAAGTAAGGCATGCCGTTGTATCATGTAATGGGTAAAAGTGGCTTTAATGACAAATTCAAAAAAATTAGAGACAAAAACAACTGCACTTTATTTATTATGCTTTATACGTTTATTGTTTTTGTCTTGAACTTTTTTGAATTTACCATGTCCTGGGTGACTGAGAATCTTCACCAGTTATTAATGACACAGTCGGCTTGCCATAGCCTGCCACCTTCGTTCTGCTCGCTGCTTGGAGCAACCGTCATCAGCCTCATGTCGCTGCACCGCCCCGGTGAAATGCAGCTAATTTGACCATTAAAGTGCAATTATTAAGTAAAAGTTCAACTGAGACACACCTTCACTATAATGTTGAGCTAACAAATAATTGTTTTTAGGTGGTTATCTTGTGAAATTTGTAAGAACCGCACAGCGACTCATCCCTCTGTGCGTTCCCACTTCTGCCTATTGGCTTTTGAAATGCAGCTGACTTGTCTGTCAAAGTGCATTTATTAAGCAAAAGTTAAACTGACACACCTTTACTATAATTTTGATCAAACAAACAATTGTTTTTAAGCATTAAACTTGTTTAATTCTAGTTAAAGTCCTCCCATGCACGCTCCCGTGGCCGCCATTTGGCAGCCAATCGATTTTTGGCACAACACCGGCCCACATTTCCAGATTGGGCTCACATTTCTGGGTTGTCAGTGGTGACGCGTAACAAACGAGTCAGCGATGACGCATAATAGATGCGACGTATACGGCGAAGCGACATATTTATGGATTTTTCCACTTTATTAGACATATTTGAACTGATGCGACTTATAGGACGGAGCAACGTTTACGACGGAAAATACGGTAGTTGTTTGTTTCAGTACTTGTTGAAACTGTTTCCATCATCCATTCTCCTTTATCTAATACAATGTCTGCTTCTGTATTTGTTAACAGAAGAGCAGGAGTACATGTTGCCCCAGGAGGCATTTCAGCTCCGCCACGAGATCATGGACAACCCATCAGCGCCGGAGCATCTTCAACAGGACAAGGCCGACTCGCCACACGTCAGCGGCAACGAGGCGGAGGTCACGTGTCTGACGCCCATCGAGTCTTTCTCTCTCATCTCCATTTCCCAGCCTCTTTTCAGCCCACACCTGCCCGCCAGCTTCTTCTGCCCCATCGTGCGGGAGATGCTGAGCTACTACGCCGAGCAGGGCGACGTGCAGATGGCCGTGTCCGTGCTCATCGTCATGGGGGAAAGGATTCGCAAGGAGATTGATGACCTCACCCAGGTTAGAAGACGAACAAGCTCTCAGTTTTTAATTTGCACGTTCTCTTCGTGTTTTCTTGGGTTTTCTCTGTGTACTCCCGTTTCCTCCCCCAGTCCAAAATATGCATGTTTACGCTGCTTTCAGGGCTTCTCTGTGGGGTTATCCTGGTTAAAGAAGGGTTAAATAAACTCGACATAAAGGCATCAAAGTTCATTTTGTGAAAACATTTTCTTAAAGATTTAAATTTAAACCATTTAATGAGGTTGAACTTGAGATTTTATTGACATTAATCACAACATTCGTGTATTTTAGTCGAGAAAAAAATCACAAAAATCTTGACATTATTGATTTAGAGCTCAAAGGTCTAAATAAATTTGAACATTTCTTTATGATTTTCCTCATTATATTTCATCTCATTTAAAGACCAACAACGTTTGGTGTTTTTCCTTTTAGGAGCACTGGTACATGTCCTACATAGACCTGCTGCAGCGATTCGAGCTGTGGAACGTGTCCAACGAGGTGATCAAGCTGAGTACGTGCAACGCCATCACCTGCCTCAACCAGACGTCTACAACTCTGCACATCAACTGCAGCAACTGCAAGCGACCGATGAACAACAGGGGATGGATCTGCGACCGGTACGATTTCTGACTCTTCTGATTCCTCAGAGCACCACACGACTGCGACGCTTCACTTTTCTTAAAACGTCTGGTCTATGACTTTTCTCAAAGCTCCATCAACTTTTGTTGGTGACAAAATTGCATTTTTTTTTAATTGTATTTTTTTTTTCCTCACATCAAAATTATTTTTTAATGTTACTGAAGTACCCCTGAAAGTTTAGTTTGGTTTCCTGTTATAAGGACGAGGGGAGTCAGTCAGTAGTTTAGTGATGCGTCTGTCAGGATTTTAATTTTGCACAGCCCCAATAACAGGATCGCAACCTTTGTGATAAAAAGAGACATTTTTGACACTTTTCTTAATAATTACGATGTCCGGAGCTGCATAATCTGCTACAACAGTGCTCTGTCAACTGGTGGAGTTGGCTTTTCCAGCCAGTGGGGACGGTATTATTATATGAAAAATGTCTAACTATTATTAACATTTATTGATATTTGTACATTTTAATGCCAAATAAAAGACGAGATTCATTTAAAGGAAAAAATATATATTTTTTAATAATTTTATAAAAATTAAAATACTGAGCTACAGGCCGATGTAAGTTCTCTTAATTGTTGAAGAATTAAGTATCCTACTTAAAGCATAAAGTTAAAGACTATAAAATTAAGCCAGTTTGTTAGATGTCCAATTCCATTTTTAAAGAAAAATAAATGCTTTTGTTTACGTCGACTTTGTTTTTTGTGTTTTATTCTTAGTGTTATCAAAGGTTACTCACCATATTCCTTCTCAGCAGCTTGTCTTAAAGATATTCCTAAACACTCTGCTGGGTTTGAGAGAAAGACGCTGTGAGACTGGATGTCGACTTAAAGTGGCTAACAAACTACTAGCATGATGTAGTCCACGTTTTACGCCGTGTATTTGTACTGTACTTCACGTGTTTGAAAATGACAGGAAAACAGCTAAAATAGGACTTTTGTACTGTTTGTATAACAACCAATAAAATTCAGTTTTATGTCCGTTTTGTTCAAAGCTTGAAAGAGCCGCATGTGGCTCCAGAGCCGCAGATTGCAGACCCCTGCCCTTTGACCTTTGACTTTAAACACTCATTTCACTCAGTAGCTACTTTCAGTCATCTCAGACCAGGCCTGGTGGTGCTGCGTTTGACTTGTGTGAACTTAGAGATGAAACAAGAAGGGATTTATCACTGCAATGCCTCTGAATTAGGAAAATGTTCAATTCATTTCTTCTACTGGACATTTATCCAAGTAACTTTTACAAAGAAACCCATTGTTGTGCGTTGTGGCCTACAGCAATTTTGTTTATTAATCTCACTAACATCCGAGCTGCTCCTTTTGTTTTTATGTTTTAATGTTTCTTGTGAGTCTTAAGTACTATTGACATGTAAAAAAACAAGTATTTCTTAGATTTTGCTGTAAAACAAGCTGACAAATGTGCTGCTTTCCTTCAGGTGCCGCCAGTGTGCCAGTGTTTGTGCGGTGTGCCACCACGTGGTGAAGGGGCTGTTTGTGTGGTGTCAGGGCTGCAGCCATGGAGGACATTTGGAGCACATTATGAACTGGCTGAAGAGCAGCGCTCACTGCCCTGCTGGCTGCGGTCACCTGTGTGAGTACACGTGAACCCGTTCGTGCAGCTTGGCGCTGCGTCGTGACGGCAAAGCAACCCGCTGTGGAGCGCAAACACGAGCTCCGCAGAAAGATGGGACGTCTTCATCCCGGGACAATTTACAGAAAAGGATTTATGAGGCGAGTTCAGACTAAAGTTCTGATTGAGAAGAGTTTTAAGTGTTCCCCTGGACAGCTGTTGAAGAGCAAACACAATTTATGTTTGCATTTGATTTGGTCTCTGAAGCCACCGTAAAGTAGATGAAATGATAACAGCAATTGAGTTTAAATCAAAATTTGTTGAATTTTATAGTTTTGTACCCGTCTGTAAAATTCTGAAAGCTGTACACAAATAATTATTGGTTGCTTGTTAATGTCTGTACATAACACTTGTTTTGAATTACTGTAGATGATGTAATAACTTATAACGGAGGGATATGGCTGTCAGTTAAAGCCGTACATTAAATCTAAACACTTGACATTAAAATGTTCCGGTTCAGGAAACCCTGTTTGTCATCTTCAAGCTTCACTTCTTTGTTGTACAGCGCATCAGCACTAAAGACGCCACAACTCTCATCAGCACGAACATGTTCAGCTTTTAGTGCAGACACATCCACAGATTTCTCAGTTTATTCAGTCTGACTACCATCAATAGTTTGAATCAGCTGCAGCGTCGCTGCAAATTATATAATTAATGATCGTAAACTAGAAATAGTTTCACATTTCAAAATGAAAATTGTGATTGGTAATTTCAAAATGTCATGTTCAAAAATAACTAAAATCCACAAATTTTAAAGAAGCATCAGTGTCAAATAGAGTTCATCTTACAAGACTGTAAACGTATCATGAGTTCCACCTTCAGTAATAAATCTGAGTGCTGAGGTATGAGCTGTATGGAGTCGGTTCTTCTGAGCCGTATCAGGCTTGAGGTGGTCTGAATCTGCTGTTGAAGATAAACTCACTGTCCCTGACTGCACTGATTTAATGCCAACGCCCACAGAACAACAACATCCTTAGATGGGCACGAGGAAAACGTCTAGGCCTGTCGCGATAAACAATAAATCAATTAATCTCATGATAAATGAAAATTATCAACCTCATTTTCATTCATCGGTGGTTTCTTCGTCTCTTTCTACTGAAGACACTGGATGACAAACGGCTCAACTCTTCACTGACCCTCCCTTTCTCTTTAAAATCTGTTTTAATCGTCCAAAATCATGTTTTTGGATCAATAAAAGCAGATAAGCTAAGTTAACAGGCCGACCTGGGGGGGGGGGGGGGGACCTCCGTCTTGTCGAAGCTCCAAAATTCACGGTTCAAAACCCGTGCCTTCGTGTAAAAAGTTGTTTTTTTCTCTGCAAAAAGAAGCTGAGAACTTGTTTACTGATTTTTTAAATTAAAAGCTTTGTGTGAAAAATGCTATGCTAAAGAGCTCAAACCACACCGAGCATCCGCCATTTTGAGAACCGAAGAGAGACAGCCCATGTCACGTCAAGGGACCTCCTTCCCATTTTTCTTAGGGACACGCTGCTCGCTCCCTCACTATCCATCCTTCGGTTCAGTCTTATACTGCCATCTGCTGGTCAAAAAAAGGTACTACGCTCAAAACAAATTAGCAAACATTTCCTCTTAAATTTCACATTACTAATTATTGTCACATTTCAAACAATATTATCGTTTATCGCAATAATTTGAGACAATCGCCCAGCAAAACGTTTTTATCGTGACAGGCCTAATCTTAACAGCCAAAAAATATATAATTACAGAACCAAACTGTAAAACCATTCGTGACAGTAATTGTTTATTTTGAACCCTTTTGAATCTTCCTCGTGTCAAAAGTTTAGACTGGAGGCAGATTACGCATTGAGACCTTTAAATACCGTTTGAGAAAAATCTCTTCTTTTCAACCTGACTCTTTCATCTGTACGTTTTCTTTACCTGCATCTCCTTTCTGGGTCTCAGAGCTGGTGCCCATCTCCAGCAGACAGGTTGCAAGTCCAACACAGATTCACCTAGGGACCATTTAAAGTTAACCTGAGAGGAGACTGGTTTTACCTGGAGAAAACTCACGTATGATCTACACAGAAAGGCCCCAGGCAGGAAGTTGATCCTGTGTTCTTCTCTGAGGTAGTGATGGCCAGAAGATGCTTCATGAAGCCGCCAAGCTTTCCTTCCAGTTGGTTCAAAAATATTAATTTCTGGCTTCATGTGCACACAAACCCCCCCTACTGGTCAAACTTTGTAATTTCAGTTGTGAACCTTGAAAAGAAATCAAAGCACCCAATTTTTATTTAACATTTATTCATGTACAGTTTGACGTTTGGTTAATGGTGATAGATTTATTTATTTTAATACACGTCAGTAGTCATGGGATGTTAAAAATGTTGCAGTGGTGGGACAGTGAATGTATGAATACTGGAGTCGATTTGTTTCTATTATAAAGTCTAAGCATTTATTCTACTGAGCTTAGATTTGGTCAGGTTCTCTTTGAAATCACTGCAGGAACTTTATGGACCTCAGCTTTGGCCTCTAGTTGGTTCTCAACCACCATGAGCAAGAGAATGATTCATTTCAACACTAATATTTTCAACAAGGTTTCTTGTAGAGAACAGGAGTTTGATCTAATTTTGCCACAAAGTCTCTGAAGCTTTTCTTTTACTATGCCAGCCATGTCTCAACAATCATGGAGACCAAAGTCTCATCCAGCTCCTCTTTCTGCCCTCTGGGATTCCATTACATACTTTATTGTGATTAAAAGGTACAAAACTCAATTATCGTGCAATAATCATTCTTGTCCTCATTTCGTGACTTGTATGAGTTGTATTGTTGATGTTATCATGGTTGCTCATTAAATCTGACACCAGGAAAAAAAAGTTTACTTTAAAAGGCACTTTGCAGAATAGTAGTAACACGTCAGTATCTGACAGGCACAGATAAACATATTCTGGGTAAAACAGAGAAATCTTGAACTGTTTCCACGCAGGTGAAGCCCTTCTTTTTGCAGGCTCCATAAACATAAGCTCTTGTCATCACGTGCACGTGCACACAGGTTTTGCAGGGATCCATTTATCTGATACAAGCTGGTGAAATGCGACAAAACGTGAAGCCTTGTCCTGAACTAACGAAGCTTCAGACGTCATCGGTGACATCACTCGCACGGGGGCGACTGTGGCTGAGTGGTTAGAGCAGTCGTCCTCCAATGCAAGAGTTGGGGGTTCGATTCCACCAGCAGTCACATGCTGAAGTGTCCCTGGGCAAGACACTGAACCCCTCATTGCCTCTGATGCGTGTCCCATCGGTGCATGAATGTGATAAATCACTGATTAATCTTTGTACAAATCTAGTAGAGTGCTGTATGAATGGGTACATGAGGACACAGGTCGTGTTGTAAAGAGCTTCAAGTGTCTTGATAAGAAAAAAGACACTATATACGGTACGTATAGTCCATTTACTTAAGCTTTGGTACACGCTTCACTAAAATCCTCTGGGATTTCTCGACAGGCTCAGAAGCTTCAGCACAGGAGGACCCATCACTACTGAGAGGTGAGCGCTCAACCACAGATGCTGTACCCCCTGACAAAAATCCAACTTGGATAAAAACTAGTAGTCCGGCATCACATACCAAGAAGGTTGCAGGTTCTCCTCCTGGCCTGGGGTCTTTCAGGAAATCGTTTCCTCCCACAGACCTACAACATTCATGTTAGGTTAATTAGTGTCTCTAGGTGCGAGTGATCACTTGTCTCGGTGTCCCTGTGATGGACCCGAGACCTGTCCAGGGTGTACCCCGACTCTGCAGTGATGGCTGGAGATCAGCACCAGCTCCCCATGACCCAGACATGAAAAGGCACGTGAAGAAAATTAACGAATGGACTTTAATAAATGTCTAGAGCTGCAAGTGTGAAGGTTCATCTTCACACAGTTATTTTAGCTTTTACTTCCCATATTTAAATTAAAAGGGTATTTGCTGCATGTTATGTCAAATTAAGGTTGACAATTGTGAAAAAGCTTTTAACATTAAATTTCTGACAGGTTTCATTTTAATTATTTTTTATTTATTATTATTTACTTTTAAAACTACAAGGATTTCTGGTTTAAATAAAGCACACGACAGCAACATGGAGGTATTACCAAGGGGTTTGTGCTTTGAGGAGAAATTCTGAAATCCTCGTTATAAGAAATAAATGTTTTATGGACATTTTTAATTAAAACAGATTTAAACAGAATAAATTTCATTTAGAGTGTAAATCTGCAGAACGTATCTTCGATGTGGTTTAGATTCTTATACGCCTCCACGTTGATGAGTGGGCACTCCGATTCATTTCCTCCTGTTTTTCTGTGCACAACTCCAACACGGGAGTCTGGCACAAGAAGCTGGAGGGTCACGACCCCTCCGGCCTGCTCGTCGTTTCTCTGCAGCAGCTGCGTTGCCCTTGTCCTCATCTGGCAAGCTCCGGTCCATCAGCCAATCACAGGCGAGCAACAGGTGTGCTCCATTCGCTGAGCCGCTTCGCTCCAGAGGGGCTGGCCTCGTCCTCAGCCTTCTCCCAATTCACAGATTTGTTCAGGGTGGTCACATCACCCTCCGTCAACCACGATCCACTGCAGGACAGAAGAAAGTTAGGATTCGTTTATGAAACAAACACGTGCTGAGACAAACGACTGCCGTCACCTGAGACATTTAAGGTCGTTCCCAGCTGTCTGAGACTTTTTCAGGGGCGCTCAGTCGTCTCAGACTCTGCAGGAGGGTTTGCAGAGTCCCAGCTGTGATGACAGAGCGAACATTAACGACTGATCATCGAAACCGCTTCAATATCTGATCGATACTCTCAACTCACCCGTTTCCTCTTGATAAGAATTCAGCTTCTTCAAGAGATCGACAACAGTGGAACACTTCAGCTCGTCTGCAGCGTTGAAGAAATAAACTTGGATTAATAAATACACATGTAGATCATTTCTAATTATCCGGCACCGTGTTTGTTGACTCACTCTCATCACCAGTGTCAGTTTTTTCTCTCTCTTCCAGACCGGGGTCAGAAAGGCTTTTCACATCTGCGGTGAAACGAGACAACAGTTCAGCCTGACACGCCCTCGCTTTCGTCAGTGTGCTGCTCGCGTCCTGAGCCAGCCGGTGGTCTTCCACCAGCTCAGCGTGGACCCTCTTCCACGCCATCTTGTCCTCCATCAGGCACCCCTCCATCACTGTCCGCAGCTCCTTCTCCTGAGACACCTGGCTCTGCAGGCTCTCGATCTCCCCGCAGCGCTACACGGGCAGAGTCATTTGAACGATGTTAAAAATGCATTTTGGTTCAGCTTTTAGTCGGCGTTTTCTTCACAGAGACCTTGTGGAGTTGGATTGCCATCTCCTGCATCTCGGCCTCAAGCTGGTCAGCGTACGCTTGCTCCAGAGCATCGCAGGGCGGCCGAGCGTTGCTGTGCCACCTCGCGATAGCCGAAGTCATCTTACGTTTGGGTCCAAACAGTCTGGAGAACAAGGTGCTCGGGATTAAAGAATCGAAATAGTCCCTAGTCCCTTGCTACTTCACGGTTCATTTATCGCGGACTCGCTCTGTCACAGTTTTTCAAAATAAGATTGGACATGACACACAATTGACTGATTGATGGCTGAGCTGCACGAATGGCATGGAATTTTTTTATTTAAAATTATTTTACATTATTTAGCACCTGCTGCAAATTTGTACAGCCCAGAGCTGCAGAAAAAGCTTCCTCCTGCAGCTTTGTGCAGCCCTTACTGCAGGATAAACTTCCTGCTGCAGCTGATCAGCTGTTCACCTGCAGAGCTGAGAAGTGGGCGTGGCCGAGAGCGCTTGCAGGAGGCAAAGAGCAAATGAGGAAGAGCTGAAATCATGACATTCTGTGCTCTTTTATAGCATTTAGTTTAGAAACATTGTTTAGAATATTGCAAGTGTGGGAAGGGTTTACAAGGCCTTATATCTATCCATCCATCCATCTATATATATATATCTATTTATCTCTATATCTATATTTATTACAGTGAGGAAAATAAGTATTTAAACACCCTGCGTCTTTGCAAGTTCTCCCACTTAGAAATAATGTAGGGGTCTGAAATTTTCATGTTAGGTGCATGTCCACTGTGAGAGACATAATCTAAAAAAAAACAATCAAAAATCACAATGTATGATAAATAATTTGTGTGTTACTGCTGTAAATAAGTATTTGAACACCTGCCAATCAGCAACAATTCTGTCCCTCAAATACCTGTTAGTCCGCCTCTAAAAAGTCCACCTCCACTCCACTTATTATTCTAAACTAGAAGCACCTGTTTGAGGTCGTTAGCTGCATAAAGACACCGGTCCACCCCACACAATCTGTAAGACTCCAACTACTAACATGGCTAAGACCAAAGAGCTGTCCGAAGACACCAGAGACAAAACTGTAGACCTCCACAAGGCTGGAAAGGACTACGGGACAATTGCCAAGCAGCTTGGTGAAAAAAGATCAAGTGTTGGAGCAATTATTAGAAAATGGAAGAAGCTAAACATGATTGTCAATCTCCCTCGGACTGGGGCTCCATGAAAGATCTCACCTCGTGCTGTATCACTAACTTCCATTATTCCATTCAAAAAGTTCATCTTTAATAGATGATAGATTCAGGGCCCACAATTTAAAATATTTCAAGTATTTATTTTTACATAATTTGGGCTTCCAGCTCATGAAACCCACAAAAACAGGATTTCAAAAACTTAGAATACTTTGAAGACATCAGCCCACACTACTCAGTTTTTGCAGGAAAAAAAAAAGAAAGAAATTAGGTTCACAACAAATCAATCAAAATATGGTACTTTCAAAACGATATGTCAATCTTCAATACTTGGGAATCCCTTTGCCTTAATCACTGCCTCGATGTGACGTGGCATTGAGGCAATCAGCCTGTGAAAGTGACTGGGAGTTATGGAAGCCCAGATTTCCTTGATGCTGTCAGCTCTTCTTTGTTGTTGGGTCTGGTGCTCCTCATTTTTCTCTCGAGAATACTCCATAGATTCTCAATGGGGTTTAGGTCTGGCGAGTTGGCTGGCCAGTCAAGCACTGTGGCATGGGCATCAAACCAGGTTTTGGCATTTCTGACAGCATGGGCAGAGGCCAGGTCCTGCTGGAAGATTAAATCTGCATCTTCATACAGATCCTCAGCAGAAGGATTCATGAAGTCCTCCAGAACATCCTGGTAGACTGTTGCAGTGACCTTGGATTTAAGAAAGCAGAGTTTACCAACACCTGCACCGGACATTACACCCCAAATCATGACTGACTGTGGATATTTCACACTGGACCTCAAGCAGTATGGGCTCTGTTCCTCACCCTTCTTCCTCCAAACCCTTGGACCTTCATTTCCAAATGAAAGGCACATTTTACTTTCATCGGAAAAGAGGATCGAGGAACCCAACAGTTGTAGCCCATCTCCCAGATGCGTCTGAACGTGGTGTTTTTTGAAGCTGTGACTCCCACCTCATTCCACTCTTTCTGGATCTCTGCCAGATTCTGGAATCTTCTCTGTTTGATAATCTGCTGAAGCCCACTGTCATCTCTTTTGCTGGTGCATCTTCTCTTGCCACATTTGCCCTTCCACTACTTTCCATTGATAAGCTTGGACACAGCACTCATTGAACAGCCAGCCTCCTTAGCTATGAACTTTTGTGGCTTACCCATCCTATGGAGGGGATCAATGATGGTCTTCTGGCCAGTTAGGTCTGCAGTCTTCCCCATATTGAACCGAACTGAGACAATTGAACCAAACTGAAGCAACTTAGGGTGCATTCACACCAGCCCTGTTTAGTCCGCTTTAATCGAACTCTAGCTCGTTTTCCTAGAAAGTCTGGTTAGTTTAGGGAGGTGTGAACGCACCATCGAACTCTGTCACGGAACAAAAAGGCGAACTCTGGCCCGGGCTAAAACCTAGGTCTCGGTCCGGTAGAAGAGAACTCCAGCGCGGTTCGAGTGCAGTGTGAATGCAAACAGACCGGACCCGCTCCGCAGGGTAAACAAACACGCATTTCTCTGACCTTATATGGAGCCGTCAGCTGACTTGTGTGGAAAAACAATATTCTCCATGGTCTTCTGTCTCATCTTCTGCTCATGCTAAGTCCATTTTTGAAAAATTACAAAATATAACTCCTAAAACTGCTAAAACTTGAGGCCACTTCGTTTTATTTTTATTTACAGAAGAAGAAGAAGACGTGTCTTCAGAGGTTTTTGTGTCGTTTCTTTCAGTAGTTCTTGGTGCAGCGCCCCCACAGGTGAGCGGGGGAACAGGTTGGTTCAACAGGTTGACTCGACTGCACAGTGCAGTGTGAATGCAAACTCACCAGCTCAAATGTAAACAAAAGGTAATGAATATTGGTCCCGAACCGAGTCTACCGGACTATCTGGTGTGAAAACGACCTTAATGACACCTGGGGAAACCTCTGCAGGGGATTTGAGTTTAGTAGATGATTAATGTCACACTCAGTTTAAAACATTCATGCCCTGCAACATTTGGCCTGATGTCTTCAAAGTATTCTAATTTTTTTAATTCCTGTTTTCGTGGGTTTCATGAGCTGGAAGCCCAAATTATGTAAAAATAAACAAATAAATATTTGAAATTGTTTAAATTGTAGGCCCTGAATCTATCATCTATTAAAGATGAACTTTTTGAATGGAACTATGGAAGTTAAACAACTTTTCCATGATGTTCTAATTTTTTGGAAAGGGTCTGCATGTGTTATCGTGGGGCTTCAGAGTACGGATCCCCCGCGATGAACGAGGGACTACTGTATTATAAAGCCCCCCGGGGGTGTGGTAGAAATAAGATTTGAATCTGAAAGAATCGGTTTGCTCAGTTTAGTTCATGTGTGTGTGCAGATTTACCAACGTTCTGTTCAAAAGCAAACCATAGATCGTTTGGCTTCAGAAACATTCACTAACTTTAAACAAAACTGTAAAACTACAAACATTACCTCAACTGCAGAGGAGCACACTTTAGAGTTTTTATTCAAAGCCACTCAAAACCAAGCGGAGTATATGCTTCAGTACCATCAAAGTAACACGAGGATAAACTTTGTACAACAAATGTTTCTAACTTAACTACTGGAGTGAAACAAAGATGTGAGTCATAAGTATTTGATGTGATTCAGCGTCAGTTTCCCTGCCAAAAAGCACCAAACAGCCTTGTTAATAAACTGTTTTAACTGAGGGAACAGATTTAAACATCCACTAATTGCATTTCTACCCCCCAACCCCCCGTAATGGGATAAAAAAAAAAGAAGGATAAAGATTCTCACGTGATTCCTAGCTCTTTCAGATCGTTCTCTGTCAGGGTGAGAAATACCCGCAGGTCGACGTCCTGTTCTTTCAGTAACGGGAGGTACTTCGAGAAGCCAATTTGCTCCAAGAATTCTGCCAGACCCTGCAGGACAAACAGGCACTTAGCTGTAAAACTTCCCAACAAACGGACAGAGCACAAACGGTTAACAGACGTGCCTTTGGTCCAGTGTAGGGGGGTGGGGGGGTTGTGTGTTTGCTACAGTTTCCAGTCTGGCTGGGGTGGGCCGTTTCGCTGTTTCCATGACGAGCCTTGCCTTTTGAGTGATGACCCTTATTTACTCTGCGAGAGCTGCTCTTCATGCACTGGTCCGAGTCCTGGTGGATGAAAGTGCACGTGAGAATCACAACTTAACAACTAACTAAATGAATTTCTCTTTAAGCGCATCCTGCTGCGTTCACCTCGTTACTCTCCACAGAACCTTCCCAGTTGAGTCCGGTCACGTGAGGCAGACCTTCACTGCTGCTACTGCTGCTCCTCATGGTGGGCATGTCGTTGTCAAAGAACGGACTGTCGTCTGCGCAAACAGCATTACAAATATAAACATGCTGAGCAGATTTAACCCAAACGGGTCAGGACTGAGATTTCCTGTCGTTTGCCTCTCACCTCTGCTGCTGTGGCTCTGACCGTCCAGCTCGTTGATTGGCGACGTCACGTCCCTGTCGCGGATGCCTTCACTCTGATCTCCAATATCGCGGAACGTCGTGGAGCCTGTTAGCACAGCGGGAGGTTCTGTGAAGATAAAATCAACATTAACAAGCGCTGGCATCATTTCTGCAGGAAATGAATGTATAACTCGACAACTTCTGCTAATCCACAGCTCCAGATGTTTCATGTGACCCACCATGCAGTTTTCTGGTGCCTCCCACACTGAACTTTGCAATAGCCTGAGGCCCGTCGTGGATGCTGGCGCCTTTAGCTCGGCTCCGACTGGGCCGAACCCTCTGCGGCGCGCTGTCCGAATCCTCAGAGGAGCTCAAGTCTTCAAAGTGACCTGACAAGTTGGGAGCATGCAAATTTAACTAAATAAATAATCCTTTAGAAAACGAGATGAGAACTTGTAATTCACCGAAACAAGTGGAGACTTTACATCATCCAAACAATCACCTGGTTTATTTCTTGGAGAACGCGAGTTGATGAGGCTGACGATCTTAGTGTAGCCATAAATCCTGGCGAGGGTGCAAGCAGTTTCTCCTTTGGCATTATGGTCATCAACTTTAACTTTCTATAAAGTTCAAGAGAAACAAACAGTCGTTTTGGGTTTATCATTTGATTCATTGTCTTTTTTCCTCCAGTGGGACTGAAGAAATGTGCAGAAAAAAAATAAAATCAACAGAATCCCATCTAGCACAGGTCAGACTGGTCAAATGGAGGTTTCGACATGTGTGATCTACTCACATGGTCGAGGAGGTACTGAACAATAATTTCATGTCCAGAAGCTGCAGCCTCCATCAGGGGAGTGAACCCAGACCCTGGCTCTCTATAGACGGGGAAGAATGAATAAATTCAATAAATCTGAAGCCAGTGACTGTTGCTGTTTTTAATCTCCATAAAGACACTCACTTGACTGTAGCATCAGCGTTGTTGTCTAACAGGAACTTGACCATCTGTTGGTGGCCTGTGCTCGTACAGTGAAACAGAGCCGTCCAGCCTCGAGAGTCCTTCAGCTCCAAATCTGCCCCTTGCTAGTTGGGTTAAAGAAGAAAAAAAAAAAGTTACTGATGGACGTTGATATGAAAATATAACCGCAAAACATTTATAGAAGGTTGACCATAAAATAAAATACCACAAAAAATAAAACAATACAAGACTGTAACATAAGCACCACACTCGACCTCCTGAGTTTAAAATCAGGTTTAATGAAAACCAATAACTCCTGGTTAGATGATCTGATCCAAGATGAAGTGGAAAGCTTTAACAGAAGCTAGTGCCAAGATTTTAATTTTGAGATTTTGATCAATTTCTTTAAAGATTTTATAAAACAAAGAGAACTGGCCCCAAAACAGAACCCTGAGGTACCACACACGTGATTCTAGACCACCCCACAACGATCTGGTTTATTTACACGTGGTCCTGCTGCCATGTTGGAAGACGAGCTCCAATGGACAAACACGCTGGAGAGAAGACGAAGAGCAATCAGTGATTCTTTCACTATAACGTTCACCCATCGTCAGCTCAGCCAACAGGGATGACCGAGATAAGAAATTGTATTTCTGAACCGAGATGAAACAAAGACAAACTCTTGAGAGGTCCCAGCAGCGAAGGCACCAGTGGCTGGTACTGGATAATTTTCTTGGAGGTACATTCATCTGCAACACTTTTTTCCTTTTATGAAACAACAGCTTCAGCTACATGTGTAGTATGACGTATCCTGAGATATATTCATACATTAAACGGGTTCACTCATCTTTCTGGACTGGATGATGTCGTGCTTTGAATTTAACAGAAATGTGGACGTGAGACGTTAATTATCTTTGACTCACCAAGCGAGTGGGTCATTTATTAACAGAATCAAGTTTAACACATCACACATTTACATTAATTTGGCAGAATATGAAAACAACAACATAATTAATCAGCTTTACAACCAGGAAAACCATACGGCCATGATTTTCCGTTGCTTCACCACAGACATTAATGAAAACATCTGGATTAATTTTCTAGCAGAAAGGAGAGTTTAAAGATGGAAAATTGAGATTTATCTTACAGAGAAATGTGTGAGGGAATTTGTCTGTTTTAACCAGAACGTGCACGCTCCTTCGGAAATCAGCTTGTCCCAAACAGTACACTTTTGGTGAAGGTCGACTTTTACCTTTTCTGAAGATAGATCAGTTCCGGCGTGGAGTCTCACTTCCAACCACTGTTCAGCGTCTCAGTGAGAACAGCCAAATACCTAGAGAGCCGTGCGAGGTTATCCAAACAGAAGTTATAATTCCCAAAATCGTCTCTGGTTCAGCTTGTTTGGCTTAGCAGCATCCATGAATGCCTGCGTTTGCATTCAGGTACTCCCAAACTCTCTGCATTCTGGATCCCAAAACTCCTGAACTCTACTCCATCTTCAAGACAGAGCTTACAGCAGCTTCAAGACTGAGCTGAACTCTCTGTGAACTCCAAGAACTCTGAAACTCTGAACTCTACTTGAACTGGGAAGTTGCCACATTTAAATGGGCTCTACTTCCGGTTCATTTGAGAGCTTTTTGATTGGTGGATGGACCAAAGCAGAGGTGTGGTTTGTGATGTAAGGTGTTATTAAAAGTCAAGGAAAAGATTCAAATTGTTTAAGAACAGACAGAAAGATATCATGGCAAAACCAGACTTCGTGGAGCCACCTCTCCTGTATCTCGCTGTAAAAGTTAAACATGACATTTCTTTTCAGTAAACTTTCTAGTTGACCGAAGCTTGAACTTTAACACACTTACAACTTTGCTCATTGAAGACAGAAAATCAAGAAATGTGTATTAACCTGATTTCTTCTTTGAATGAGGATTAAGGATCATTATTTACTGTTCCACAGTTAATAAAAATGAGTAGTTCACTTCAACATGTAAACATTGTTTGAACTAACACAATTTGATTATCAAAACATTTGTAAAATAGTAATGATCATAGAGAATTGTCTTTTTCCATTTGATTAATTCAAGAAAGAAAGTCTCAGGATGGGTCAAACTGTATTTCTGGATTCAAATCAATGAAATGACAGTTTCTGACCATATGATCCTAAGGTCATTGATTTGACATCAGGTCAAGTTCACTACACATGAGCACTTCTGGCAACAGAAAACATTAAAACAAACCAACTTCATCATGTGATGTTGATTTTCAGCATCATCACCAAGTACTGACTTTTTTTGTGATGTGGAATATATTGTGAACAAGATGGGGAAAGACCTCACTACATCAGTAGTTTACCTGGTTTCATAACTCTTAACCTGACACCAGTTTCCTGCACTCAACCAGAGATAAAATGATTGTAGATGAGATTTGTGTGCGAGGTCTTTGCTTGTGCACGAGCTGAAAACCAGATCAATTCAAACATCAGGACGTGTTTAGGACCGTTGTCCATTTGCTTACATGAACATATTTGTTCAATAACTTCAATTAGCTGCTTGTCAGCTGGCTCAAGCGCTTCCACACATTTTATTTATTTAATGCAGAACTGATTTTTTTTTTCCAATTGCAAAACAGCAATATACTGCAGACGAAAAACAAGTTAAAGTTAAAAGCGCTTCGTTTGTCTTCCAGCATGGCGGAGCCACATTTCAGAGTGATCTAGTTTTATAACATCTAAGCAGTTTTAAATGGATGGAACTTGACCGTACATTCAGAAATAAAAACGACTGCAGACCTTTTGTCCTCCGACACAGCATGCTGCGATTTTTCAGAGGCTTTCGTACCTGGAGCAGGAAGTACGCGATGCTTTCGTTCCCACAGCTCGCAGCCAGCATCAGTGGAGTGAGTCCTTTAGCTGTGGTGGCGTTCACGTTCACACCAGCCTCCAGCAGGAGATTCACAATGTTGTCATGTCCAATATAAGCTGCGTACATGAGCGGACTCCATCCTCCAATGTTCTTGCCATCCAGGTTCACTTCACCCCTAAAAAATACAACAACCTCAAGAGTCTGGAGACCATTAGATCTGGTAGATTTGTGTAAAAGCTGCCCACCTTTTGATGCACTCAGCCACAACGTCGTACTGTCCGATGGAGCAGGCGGTGTGGAGGTCCAGGGGGACATTCAGCAGAGAGTCCCCCAGCCACAGGGACAGGCTGGACCCCAGCTGCTCGGACTCACTGGCCTCATCACTTAACTCGGACATTTCCACTCCTCAGAGACAGAACACCATAAAACCACTAAACTGCGGTTATCGACTTTCACTATTTATTTAGACAAATAAAAGACAGAAAAACCAACAGAGTGATGCAGAAAAGTCTGGATAACGTGAACTAACTCGGGCTTTTCTGAGCTGCGATTAGCATCACAGCTGGTGTTGATTTAGCTTAGCAGCGGAGCCGTTCTCTCTCCCTCCACCCGAAAACTACACTTGTAGTTTGCTAACAAACTACACTAAACTCGTATAAAGACAGAATACGTAAACTAATATGTTCATGTGGAGAATTACAAGAGAAGGTGAAAAACTTACAACCAGCAGGCGGTTTGTTTCATCAGCAGAGCAAACTTTTCGTGTGTCACATTCATTAGTGCTCGACTTGAAACACATCCCGCCATGAGATTTTAAAAACGGGAACATACTATTATTGATAAAGACAAACTTGTGTTTTATGCCGTCCTCCCCACCAGTTAGATTGGTAAATGTATTAAATCCATATTTTATTCACTGTAGAACACAGTACACATATAAACAATATATAAATTTGGTGTTCACAACACATCTCTGTAAACATCTAGGAACCAGTTTTTTGGAGGGTCGGGATTGTCCTTGTTCTCGTCTGATTTAGGATTCGGACTGTTCAACAGTCCTGGTCTACAGTCCCTGAAAAGAACATTGTCTGGATGGAAGCTTGTGTTGTTCTAAAAGCTGTATATACCACTTTGCATACATATTTTCCGATGTGTAAGCTGTCCATGACAGACCCTAATGCACCCCTATACCATTAGAGAGGCAGTGTTTTGAAGTGAGTTTTAATAACAAACAAGATGGCCTCACTTCTCTACTTCCTCTCTAGTACGCCGTCTATCACAATGCGCTAAGATTCATAACTGACTGTAATTTATCTCCTCCTACATGTCATTTTGTGAGTGCAGCTATAGCGTGCGCTCTCAGGACATCATTACATGCAGCATCCCCTCAGTGCTGACCGAATTAGGCAAAAGGGCCTTCTCCGACTCCACTCCTGTATCCTGGAACACCTTGCAAAAAGATCTCAAGTTGTCAACTTTAACCACTCTAAGGGATTTTAAACAACTGCTAAGTTCATGACAAAAACCAGCACAGACTGTTTAGTATTTTACATCACTTTAAATCAGGTCTCTCTTGTAAATGAGTCCTCGAGGCTCAGTGAGACTAACCTGTATAAATAAAGGTTGAATGAATGGTTGTGGCTTTTCTCAGTTTTTTTTAGGACTTCTGCCTCCCCGTCCCACATTTTATATTTAGATGTCTTGCTACCATAAAGTTGTGAAAGAAATATGGGTTTGTGAGGTTTGCAGAACATTGTATATTTTTACACGTTACACAGGGCCCTAACACCTTCAGCACTGGGGTTGTATAATCTTTGCATAACTTTCAGCGTACAAACTGTTATAATATGCATGGTAAACATTTTGGACCTTTATTGCATGCTTTAACGTTTCTTGTATTTTGGTTTTGGCGAGTCGAATCGGTTCTTCTCACCCTGAACATTTCATTGCATTGCTAACCTGCATGTGACAAATTAACAACATAACATGAATACCGGTAAATCTTAAACGGTTTGAATAAATCCCAAAGTTTAGCATCAGCGCCTGTTTTACTCTTTGCCTTTAAAAACAGTCTTGGCAAATTTCATTCAAAAATTTCAATGATTAAAAAAAAGTTTCTGAATTGAAGACTTACATTAAAAACTGAAACATACTATCGATAAAGACAAACTTAGTGTTTTATAAACTTTTTTATTCAGACAAAACAAAAGAAATATTGAAATATTACAGAAAAGCAGCAATAAAAAAACTCAAGAGTATTAGAACTGATTTAAATCCCTTGTGTCAATAAAATCTTCAGGAGCTTCTGCTGCCTTTTAAACCTTCTGGTGTTTATTTACACAGTTTGTGTTCTTGTAGAGTGAGTGAAAACTTTTTTTTACATTAGTTCATTAGAAAAAGGTGAAAAAGTCAGAAAAAGTTAAAGCAGAATTCCTCCTTTAATGGAACAAAAACAAAAGATGAAGATTCTGCCTGCACCTGCGTTGGTTTTTCGTCGTCCTGGGGTTTGGTTTGGCCTTCAGCTCTCCGGTGAAAAATCGATTTCTTTGGTCGATCGGATACAACTTTGACCTGAGCTGATGCGACTTCTGTCAAACCGAGAGAAACCTGCCTCAGTCACTGTTTCACATAAAAGAACGTTGGAAAGACCTAATCACGACCCACTCACCGCTCTGAATGAGCCTGAACTGCTTGTTCTTCTCCTCCTCCATTTTCTTCCTGTAATCTCCGGCCATGACTCTCATCACCTGCCTCTTCTTGACCAGGGGAGCTTTGGAGCTGCGCAGCGTCTTCAGAGCACGAGAGGCTTCCTCCTCTGCAGAGAGAACCCACAACAGTATCCGTTTAGTGTTTCAGCGTTGTAGAATTAAACTTTGTTAATTTCATGAACCACCACATCGGTTTGAATGAAACGTTGAGAAAGTACAAATTTCATGTACATCAACTGATTAACAACCCGCTTCAAGAAGGACTCCACAGCTAACTGACCTTGGCAAGAACATAAATGGCTAAAGCTCGGGTCAGATATTGAGCTCAAATTTGGCGTGGTGGTAGCTGAGAGTCATCCTGAACTCATAATCTGAGAGCTAACGTGTTGTGAGCTCTCACACAAGACTGCATGCAACATTATTTACAAGCTGTGATCAAAAGCGCTATTATTCCATAATATATTAGCAGCTTAAGTTTTAAAACTGACCTTTTTTTTTTAAAACAACCAAATGGTTGAAAACTATACACGCATTATTTGCAATTTGTTTGTTTCGCAGACGTTTATTATCATTTTCACAACACTTTGAAAACTTTTGATGAATCTTCCAAGTTGATTTTGAATCATTTTGTTTTAGTTTGAACCTTTTTTCTCTGTGACTGAGGCCATATTCTGACTTTTCTTCTCTTTAAGGTAATTTATTTTTGTGTTTCTTGAAACGTATTCTTGCATGTTTCAGCCATTTCAGCTACCATTTAGCTTTTGTTATGCTAATTGCAGCTTTTTCAGCTAATGCCACATTTTTTTTGCAAACAATTAAACTAAACTTTTTAAAGCCTAATGCAGCAAAATCATGCTGTACCCACTTCCTTCAGGTAAATTAAGCTTTTTTTCTGCTTGATTTAGCTACTATGCTGCTGTTTGTGGCAAATTTCAGCTTTTCTCAGATAATTTCTACTTTATTGTGCTAATTTCTGCCTCTTTCAGCCGTAGTGGGCACAATTAAGCTCAATTCACTTCATTTTGGAAATTTAAGTTTCTTTCTAGATTTTTTTTAGCTACTATTCAGCTGTTTTTGGCTAATTTAAGCTTTTTTCAGATAATTTCAACTTTATTGTGGTAATTTCTGCTTTTTTTTTTTTCAAAATCAGTGGGTACAGTTAAGCTCACTTTATTTCCTTTGGAAATTTAAGCTTCTTTCAACCTTTAGCTACTATTCAGCAGTTTTTGGCTAATTTCAGCTTTTTTTCAGATAATTTCAACTTTATAGTGGTAATTTCTACGTTTTCAACATCAATGGGTATACTTAAGCTCACTTCACTTCCTTTTGGAAATTTAAGCTTCTTTCCACAATTCTTTAGCTACTTTTTAGCTGTTTTGGGGAAATTTCAGCTTTTTAAATTTCCACTTCTGCTTCCTTCTGGTAACTTAGGCTTGTTCTTCCTTTTCAGGTGCATTTCAGCACATTATTTTTTAGCTCATTTCAGCTGTTTTTCATCAGACTCTTCAGCAAGAAGCATTCACACTGCATTTTTGCAGGAAATGCAAATTCTCTAGTATTTATGTTAGTTGCCTGGTGCAGTTAATTGGAACAGTTACAGTTTTCCAGACCTTCTCTCGTGGTAATTTTTATCTCATTTCACTTGTTGCAATTCTGAGTCACGACCAGATAAACTTTAATCACATTTCCCCATCTTTCTGGGACAGTTCGACATTCCTCTGTAGGTGTTTTGCATCTTTGTATCACTTGTGCTCAAGATGTATTTAACCTCTTTATTCATGTTGTTGTCTGTTCCTCTTATTTTCCATGCAGAGGTCATCGTTTAGTTGTTTTATGTGTCATTTTCAAACTAATCAAGACCCCACCCCCTTTTTTTTTTCCACTTACCCTTTATTTACACAGGTTAGCCTCTGAGTCACGAGAACTCATTTTCAAGAGAGACCTGTTTAGGGAGCAGATGGTGGGGGTTAAGGGCCTTGCTCAGGGGCCCAGAGTGGAGCAAATGAGGGTGGAGGCAGGTGTGGGTGTTTCACCTTCTCCACCCACATTTTGATGTTTACGGTACCGGGAGTTGAACCTGCGACCCTTAATCATAAGCAGGATAAAACATCCAAACACAAACTCAGCAGGACGCTGAACGCAGCTCAGTGACGCAAGAGATGTTCAGACCTCTAAACAGGGAGGCCTCTTCACAGACACGTGTCTCCACAGGAGAGCCATCTCTTCAGGACAAGACTGTCCATCCACACCTAACGAAAAAGGGTCACTGGAAACTCTTTAGAGGACGGAAATAAACATATCTATTAACATTAAACAGGAAAAACCAACAGAACCACCCCAACCTTGAAATATGTAGCTGCAACATCTCACATCAACAAGAGACAAAGACTCAGAGGACTCACGGGAGGGACGGGTGGTTCAGTGACTCTCAATGATCCTATAAATGTGAAACTCCCAGCAAGGACAACAAACCTGAAACTCCTGATTCGAGGTAAAACACGTTCAAGCTCAAGGACCACCCTTTACTCTCACCTTTGTATTTGTTAAAGAGCAGCCACATTTAAATGTGAATTTGTTGTTTATCTCTTGTTGGAACAAATAAGTATATGTTTCAGATAAGACTCAAGCTACTTGGGCCAGTCCACAGAACCATCCATCCATCCATCCATTATCTTTACCCGTTTATTCCATTTTGGGTCACGGGGGTCGCTGGTGCCCATGTCCAGCAATCACTGTGCGAGGGGCGGGGTACACCCTGGACGGGTCGCAAGTCCATCACAGGGACACATAGAGACAAACGAGACAAACAACCATTCACTCTCTCACTCACACCTAGGGACAATTTAGAGTCACCAATCAGCCTAACATGCATGTTTTTGGTCTGTGGGAGGAAACCGGAGTACCCGGAGAAAACCCACGCATGCACGGAGAGAACATGCAAACTCCACCCAGAAGGCTCCTGGACCGGGGTTTGAACCAGGGACCTGCTCGCTGAGAGGCAGCAGCTCTTCCACGGAACCAATGTGGAACAATTCAAGGAACGCCCGCTGGCTTTCATGCTAGTTTTAGACTGAGATCGTCTTGTGCTGAAAAGTAAAATGCTCCAGTCTCATGCAACATCCCAAGCTGTGTCACACATGACTCTCAGCTACTACCACATCATGTTATTTAGCAAAATAGTTGTAATGGTCTAACGTTTTACACTAACTTTGTTTTGGTGTTCCCTTCTGGGACCTCAGTCCCAGTTCCAGCTGCTCGATGCACCAGTCCAGCTGCCTGTTTAGCTGCTCCTCTGTGCTCTAAAACAGTCACATCAAACATTTAATGAAATGATCGTCAGAAACACTGGGTGAGAACATGTGTGAGAACACTCCACACTGACCTGCTCTTCATCGCCTTGACCTCCCTCAGCTGGTCTCGCTGGCACCTCCGCTTCAGACACTTTCTTCTTTTCAGATTTCTTCTTTTTCTTTGCTTTCACCTGAGCTGACGGTTCAGGGGGACTGACAACCTCCTGCGCAAGAGAAGCCTTTCCTTCCTCTGTGTCCATGTCAGTAGAGGGAATCTGAAAGTTGAAAACAAAGTTGGAGCCCTGGCCCGTGAAGGAAATGCGAGCTGGTGCAGCCTCAGGTGCTTTCTCCTGCGGCGCTGGGTAGCTGTCAGTGAGGAAGTTAAATCTGAAGGCGTTGTCACTGCGAGACCAGAGGGGTTTATTCACTCCTGCTCCAGCAGCAGCGTCGCTCTTCGTTCCAGCATCAATGTCTGGTTAATATTGACACAGAAAACAAATAAAGCTCAGTACATCTTATCAAAAAGGTTTACTTTAATGTGTGCATGCATCAGATACTACAGACATTCTTAAAGCTATACATTGTATTTATTTCACACTTTAGTTCAAGGCTTAGCTTTTTAAGGAATGCACGTCACCTGCCGCATTCCAAACCAAAGTTTGAAACTGAAATTATCCTTTGTGGAATGTGTTGGAGATTATTTCTTAGCTACAAACAAAACCAAATTTTATGTTAACATCTGAACAAACTATTTAGTTATAGCCATTTTTTTTAAGGTCAGTGTGCTGTGGCAGCCATCTTGAAGTGAATAACTTTATTATCAGTTAGATGCACATCCTTTACTTTCTGAATTAAAAGGTGTCTAGTAATTTATGAGATATTTTGCTAACAGTCACACACACAGACAGACATGATCAAAAACATCATCCACCTTCGTGTGTCTGGCACACGGTAATAATTAAAAATATTATTTAGTGGCATGCATAATAATTAAATGTACCTATAAACAGCAGCCTTTGCTCGCTCATGCTTCCGTTTGTTGCTGGTTTTTTAGCTGAAATTCGCCTTTTTCGATAGGATTGTTTTAACTAGACACATTTCAAGATTCAAAAATGTCCAGCAGAATATATTACATCTGTTTTAATTCTGCCGTGTCTTTGTTTCTACACGATTAAAGCAGCCTAAAATGTGTCCAGAAACTCACCACCAGCGCCACTTCAAAATGTGTCCGTCTGAAAACGTGTCCCCAACACAATAAGTTCCGCCCTCTGAGCCATCAGTGTGCGTTTACCAACCAAGAGAAAATACACGAAACTGCGTTTAAGTCTGCTTTTATAATTAATTTGCACACTTGGAAACTTAAAATAAAGTCACATTAAAAGGTTGTTATGCATTTTATATTCTATTGTTTTGAAGTAAGTGAAGTGAAAACCCGGGGAATTAATACATAAATGTGAATGGGTTATATATGTTTTTAAGGGAACATATTTTTGCAGATCTGGAGGATAAAGAGTTAAAGGGAAGTATAAATTTCCACGTCTAGGGTGTTGTTAACAAAGTGGCGGGCTGCTACCTGCTCCATCTCTGCCAGCTTCCCTCCACTTTTAACACAAAGGACCAGAACATGTGTCCTGGTTAAATTGAGCAGATCTCAGAATCTTCAGGGGTTTTAACTTCGATAAGTTACAATCTTTCTGGTTCCTGTTGATGTTGAACCGCTGTCTTATGTGTATTTTCATACCCAGGTTTGCATAAATGAATGCTGTTGAATTATTTAATCAAGAAAACATTTTATTTAGTGAAAAATATCCAATAACCATGTCGAATCATTTAACCCATATATAAAAACTGCTTTATAAAATGGATTTTAGGTTCAAAAAGGCGCTGTTGAGGATGAATAAATCAAAAATACTCGAACGATTGCCTCTAAAAACCGTTGCACCTCCTGTGACCAGGGCGTTTATCCTGATTGGGTCCTCTACTTGTCAGTTTATGTCTAAACCAATCATATTGATCATTGGGCGGGTCTTGGACTTTTGTTAGGGCAAGCTATAAATACCGCATCCTGTTTCCGCCGCGGATTTATCGTAAGACGCGGCACGAAAGAAGGAGGTCGTCTCCAGCGAAATATAAACACAAACGGTAAGCCGTCTTCTTTACCCGAAAAGTATCGAAATTCAATGTTTACGCTAGCTTTTTCTTTGACCTAATCTAATTTTTCAGAAAAAGCTGAGACCTCAAACGGACTGTTAGCTTTCATACTAACACTTAAAACGATGCGCGCCATAATCAACAGCTAATTGTTAGCTGTGTCTCAAAATATTTATACCGTTTATAATGAATGAACTGTACAACTAGTGTTGCCTCTACTTTTATTTACTGATATAACGGTCTGTTTTTGTTGACACTGTTGATTTTTCTTCTTTTCCCCCCCATATAACCTTTGTTGTAGCTAGCTGGCGCCATTTTGCAGCCGTCCATGCTAGTTTTAGATTTGGTCTCTTGTCAGGCAAAGAAACGTGCGTGTCCTCTGTAGCTTAATGGTGGCTGAGCTTTTCACGGTTTTTTCCTCTCAATAATGAATGCATAGATTTTTTTTTTTCAAAGCTCTTGAACGTTAAATGGTTTTTCCGCCAAAAAGAAAGACTTTCCATAAAGTCATGGCGGTTCATTTGATTTCTGTCGTCTTTATTTTGGGTTTCTCTGCCACATATATTTATTTTAAGGTTACGCATTTAGCATGGGATCTGTTGTTTTGCGTCACCTTTTTATTGAACGGTTTGGTGAAGCGCATACCACCGTATTTTTAAAAAATAATTATATTTTTACATGAATTAATATTTTTCCTTTCTTTTTCAAATAATTGCCTTTATAGCTAAGAAATGGCTCGTACCAAGCAGACCGCTCGTAAATCCACGGGAGGAAAGGCACCCAGGAAGCAGCTGGCGACTAAAGCGGCCAGGAAAAGTGCGCCATCTACTGGTGGGGTGAAGAAGCCTCATAGATACAGGTGAGCAGAACATTTTTTATTTTCTTTTTTTTAAAGTTTATACTGTTTTCACATGTGTTTAATGCCACTGTTTTTGTCCACAGGCCTGGTACTGTTGCTCTGCGTGAGATCCGTCGGTACCAGAAATCCACCGAGCTGCTCATCAGGAAGCTGCCCTTTCAGCGCCTTGTCAGGGAAATAGCTCAAGACTTCAAGACAGATCTGCGTTTTCAGAGTGCAGCGATCGGTGCTCTCCAGGTTGGGTTTAGTTCTTTAAAGCTTTTTATTTTTGCATGCCCTCAACAGATTTTTTTATTTTAACACTTTTATTTCTCCTTTCAGGAAGCAAGCGAGGCATACCTGGTCGGACTGTTCGAGGACACCAACCTGTGCGCCATTCACGCAAAAAGAGTCACGATCATGCCCAAGGACATCCAGCTGGCCAGGCGAATTAGAGGAGAGCGTGCATAAATGCTCAGTTTTTCTTTTTTAGTTGGGGAGGGTGGGTTGTTTGGGGAGGGGTGTTGATCAGGGCTTTGTAAATCTTATTACCAGCATGTGTGTGCCACATGATTTGTAGTTGAAAGCATGTTTTTGTACTTCACTTTTCATTTCCCTTGACCTGTTTCCAAACTCTTGTAGTCAGCGTAGACTAAAGTTTCCATGTCTTCTCAGGTTTGCAAATATTAGTCTGTACTTTTTCCAATTCTGTATTGCATGCCATAGGACATTTGTGCTGTAAATAAACTTTCTGCTACCTCGCTTGTTTTGGTTGTGCTTTGATATTGAAAACTTTATCCAATATTGTATAAAGAACAAGAACTTAATGTACTTACTACAATACAAGTCAGAATATATGCAAGATTGACAAGTGTGTACTTAATATAGTATGTTGTAGCGTACAGTGTTGGCTGTTCTGCTTGTTTCATACAGTGTTTATTAAATGTAATTCAATTCAGGTTGGCACCAAGTGGCAACAACTTGGTGTACTATTAAAGTATTCACATCCATAAAAAGCCAATTAGTAAAAGTTGTTTAAGGAAGCAACAAAGTCCATGCTCGCTCAATAATCCACGTATACAATCAACAATTTTCAGTCCGGTCATCTGGACATTTTAAGGAAGATGAGTTCTTTAAATAACCTTAGTCTTACTAAAAGCACTCAAGCAGCTTTTGGTTGATTTTATTAAGATCTTTACTCCAATTCAAATGGATAAGATTAAGGAGACTATTCAGAACAACGTGGACCTGCTGTTCAAGCAAGCGCAGATGTTTATAATGGGTCCATTTATAATGCCTTATAAACCCAGACTTGCTACTGGGGATGTGCGAGTCACACCTAACAAGTACATTTTATGTGAGGTGTGCAAGAAGGAAGTTAAGACTAAAGTTAGCCAGAGGTCACTAACACAAAAAATTACTTCTGGGACATTGTTTTTATTTTTGTTGAAACAATTTTATTTACAAAAAGATACATTGTTTTTATTTTTGTTGAAACAATTTTATTTACAAAAAGATTTGTAAATACACAATTGCATAAAACACAATCATACTTGACATAAATTAAAAATGTCCCAGAGGGACAAAAAAGGAAGGCCAAAGAGAAAACAACATATGAGGGGATCAAACTGGCCTGTTTCAGATCCCGCTGCAGTGTACAAACCAGATTGCAAAAAAGTTGGGACACTAAACAAATTGTGAATAAAAACTGAATGCAATGATGTGGAGGTGCCAACATCTAATATTTTATTCAGAATAGAACACAAATCACAGATCAAAAGTTTAAACTGAGAGAATGTATCATTTTAAGGGCAAAATCTGTTGTTTCCAAATTTCATGGCGTCAACAAATCCCTAAAAAGTTGGGACAAGTCCATTTTTACCACTGTGTGGCATCCCCCCTTCTTCTTACAACACTCAACAGACGTCTGGGGACAGAGGAGACCAGTTTCTCAAGTTTAGAAATAGGAATGCTCTCCCATTCATGTCTAATACAGACCTGTAACTGTTCAATCGTCTTGGGCCTTCTTTGTCGCACCTTCCTCTTTATGATGCGCCAAATGTTCTCTATAGGTGAAAGATCTGGACCTCAGGCAGGCTGGCCATTTCAATACCCAGATCCTTCTCCTACGTAGCCATGATGTTGTGATTGCTGCAGAATGTGGTGTGGCATTATCGTGTTGAAAAATGCAGGGTCTTCCCTGAAAGAGATGACGTCTAGATGGGAGCATATGTTGTTCTAGAACCTGAACATAGTTCTCT